GGTTTGGTTTGGTTTGGTTTGGTTTGGTTTGGTTTGGTTTGGTTTGGCTTTGCTTTTTGAGACAGGGTTTCTCTGTGTAGCTATGGCTGTTCTGAAACTCTCTTTATAGACCAGGATGGCCTCAAACTCAGAGATCTGCCTGCCTCTGCCTCCCCAGTGCTGGGGTTAAAGATGTACACTGGCACACCTGATAGGATTTAGATTCTCAATCCTTAGAAGAAGTAGTTCATTGGGTGAACCATACCCACCCATGGATTGAACAGAGAGGGATTCCCTCCTGGTTTTCATGGCAGAAGCTTAAAAAGGTTTCCTTCACTAAAAATTAATCTAAGGAAGAGGGCACTAAGGAGATGACTTGATGGTTTGTTAAAGTCCTTTGCTAAACTAACAAGAGAGCAGAGTTCAGATACCCAAAACACCTGCCATTTCTGCCATTACCCTAGAAGACAGTGGATCCCCAAAACAAGCTGGATAGTAAGACTAACCAGATCAGTGGATTCCGGGTTTGACTGGGAGACTCTGCCTCAATGAATAAGATGTACCTCAGGCCTTCTCATGCACATGTACGTGTATGTACAAACACACACACATACACACACACATACTTGTTTATGCAAGCATGAAAATGGGAGAAGAAATAAACTAATGAAGAAAGTATTTAAAATAGGAAGAATACTTCCTGCTACACAACTTGAAATTCCTGTGTCCCTTTAAGTCCTTTGCTTTGGTTTGCTGTTGTTAAGTCATTCCCTCTTCCCATGAGCACAAGTACATCCTCCTTGATAGCATGCAACCATCTCTCACACATGTGCATAAAATACATGCAACTCTTTCAGCTCCTCCTCAATGGGACACCGTCCTTCATAGCTCATATAGTGTCCTTCAGGCCACTTAAAAAAGTTTGGTGGCTTTTCAAAGGAAGCTGAGAACCACTAAACTTAAATACCGAGGTGGCATAAATAAGCATGACAATTCCTGAACTTGAAACCTGTTGATATCATGGTATTTATTAAATTTCATTACATAACAATCAGAATATAATTTTTCTCCCCTATTATCCTTACTATAAGCTTCTTTTTGTGTGTATGGAGGTGGTTTGTCTGCATGTATGTCTGTGCATTATGTGTATACAGTATCCTCAGAAAAGGGCACCAGATCCCCTGGCACTGGACTTACAGTTGTGAGCTGCTGTGTGGGTGCTAAGAATTGATCCTGGATCCTCTGGAAGAGCAGCCAATGCTTTTAACCACTGAGCCATCTCTCCAGTCCCTGTTGTAACCTTCTGATGCTTAACACATTACAGACACTGCATAGTGATATCTTGAGGAGCACACGTACTGAGAAATGTGCTGTGAAATAAAACTTTTTATGTTACTAACTTCTAGACAAATTTGGAGTGAAGTCTTGATAGCACCCATGCTTAATACACTTGCAAAAAGTCAGATCTTACAAGTTGTTTTTCAGACAAGAGAGGTGGAGAAATGGCTAAGTGGGTAAAATGGTCATTGCACAATCATGAAGACCTGAACTTAAGTTCCCAGAACTAATGCAAGCCAGACACAGGACCACACCTGCAATCCCACTATGTCTAGGGTGAGACAAAAGACAGAGAATCCCCATGTGTACACACACAGTAAATAGTGCTCTAAATCTGTTTATTCTATCCATGACTTCTTTTTAATTTTTTTTAATCTATTGCAGCGTCTGTTCGCAGTTATAGGAAACACCTCAAGTATCTTCATGGCTCTATTTGGTTCAATGCTATTAGGATATGAATTTCCAATTTTTGAATCAAAAGGAATTGAATACATTTGGTCAAATGTAAGTACCAATTATGATAATAATTCAATAATTGTGTTAGATAGAACTGAAAAAAAATATTATAAATGGCACACAATGAAATTGCTCTAAAATACATGTGGATAGAAGAACACTAGTTTGAAAATTGTCACGAAAACCTAGAAGTCATATAATTGTTGGGAAGGGCCAGAGAACTTGCTGAAGTAGCTATCAAAAACTGTTATTATGGTATTATAATAAAATCACATAGTATTTACACAAAGAAAAATTCACCAGCTTGTAGCAGAAAGAGTTGAGATAGAGGATACCTGATGTACACATCCAGACCCCCAAAACAATAGGTTTTTGAGAATTTTATACATGAGTACAATATATTTACCTCATTGTTCCCCACCTCTTATTATAGTCCCTCTCCTCCTCTCCTCTCATGGCTTCATGACCTCTTCTCCTGCAGTCATTATTGTTTATAAACTATTGGGTCCATTCAGTGTCACCATGCATATATGTGTTTAGGACTGACAGTTGACATTGGGTAACCTATCAGGGGTATATCCCCGAGAAATCCTGATTCTCCCTCCCTCAGCATTGGTCACCTGTTAGGAGTTGGACTTGTGAAATTTCCTCCATCTGCACTGGCATGTCAGCTGGCATTGTCATTTTACTGGTCTTTTTAGGCAATCATGTCGTTGAGATTTCATGGATGCAGCTTCTCTGACACTTCTCAGAGACACTGCCTCACAGCAGGGCTCTGCTCCTCTGGTTCCTACAATATATTTATAGGATTAGGTCATATTAGTTAGTTTGGGGAAAATGAAACTTAAATAGTATCAACTCAATGCGATATCTGTTTCAAAGAAAATTTAAGTAGCCACATGTTCTTGTTATGTAGAAAAGTAAGTTAGCAATAAATGCATAAGCATAAAATTATGAAAACAACCATTTAAAAGTTACATATTAACTACATAAAGAAAGAAAACTAGGAAATGAAAAGAAACAAGCTTACACATTTCAAGTTGTAAAATATTTTCATTTTCAATGCAGTGAAGGCTGAGATAACAACAGCATCCCAGAGGGCTAGGTGGATGGAGCCACTGTCCCAGAGAGCTAGGAGGGAGGAACCACTGTCCCAGAGCACTAGGAGGATGGAGCCACTGTCCCAGAGAGCTAGGAGTGTGGAGTCATTGTCCCAGAGTGCAAAGAAGTTCCCCAAAGACAAGACACTGAGGAGGATTATTTTCAGGCCTTTAAATCTACCAAAATGTAGCTCCACTTGGTTGTGAGTGTGAATAGGCTCTGGGAGCTTTTCCTCCTTTTTTTAATTTCCCACTTTGGGAGTGTATCCTGTCTGCTCCATCTTGGTCTAGGTGGCGAATTACTTCTTTCTGGCTTCATGAGTCCACAGAGATAGAGAAATGTTGTTCCCTACCTACTAAACCACAATATGAGGCTTTCCTACAGTTGGCTTCAAGAAGGATTTAGAGCTTCTTGACTATATGGTATTTAGGAAGATTTTGGACTCAGAATTAATGCTATAAAGTCTTAAAATCAGAGAAGATGTTGAGATGAATGAATATGCTTTGCACATGGAAAGGACATCAATTTAGAGGGGCTAGAAGAAAAACTATAGATTGAATTATGTTTTTTTAAATATGTACAAATGTGATTTTTCTATTAATGGAGTCATTACAGATATAATTAGTTATGTTAAACTAAGAGAAGGATATCCTTCTCATTCTGGAGAAGGGCAGACCATATTACTGGTACTCTTATAAGAAAGAAAGTTGGTGTCTGAGGAAGATGGCCATGTGAATACAAAGACACATGAGAATAGTGCTGCTGTAATTCAAGGGGCTTCCAAAATCTGAAGAGGGAAGTACCCTCCTTCAGAGCAACTAGAAGGAGCATAGTCCCACCAACACATTGATTTGTAACTATGAGACAGTTGATTTCTGTTTCAGAAATCATTCATGTTATGGTATTCATCACAGTGTCCTTGGCGAACAAGTAGAGGAGGCCAGTGAATTGCCGTCTGCCTCTCCAGTGTTTTATTCCTATTGAGATTAGACACAAGAATGAAAACAACTGAGAAAAGACACACACGCAAATGTATACAGGGCTGTCAGCTTTGTGGTTGATTATCACCTTTGAAATCCTTGTTAATGAGTTTGGTAACACTGACTGTCAGTGTTAGTATGGTTGCAATGAAACACCATGGCCAAAGCAACTAGGGAAGAAAAGGGTTTATTTGGCTTTTCCGCAACACAGTTCATCATCAAGGAAGTCAGAACTGGAACTCAATCAAGGACAATCCTAGAAACAGAGGCTAATGCAGAGGCCATGAAGGAATACTGTTTATTGGCTTGTTCCCCATGGCTTTCTCAGACTGCTTTCTTATTGAACCCAGGACTACTTGCCCAAGGGTGGCTGACCTACAATGTGCTGGACCCTCCCACACCAATCACTAGTTAAGAGCATGTCATACAGACTTGCATACAGCCTGATCATATAGAAGTATTTTCTTAATTGAGGCTTCCTTCTCTCTAACAATTCTAGCTTATGTCAAGTTGACATAAACTAGCCAGCACACTGATTTTTGTGGATTAAATCCATCTACCTATTTAAAATATACAATAAAAAAAATGTTTCCCTATTGGAAACCAGACAAATATCAGGTATTGAAAAAAAAGAATTGGATGTTCTAAACATAAGTCATTCTGGGGGAATAAAAGAGGGAACCCAAAAGAATCTGATTGTCTCTATCAGAATGACCTAGTCTGCTGGTAAGGTCTCAATCTTCCCATCAGCTAAGAAAGAATGACTTTACTTCATGCAGTAACACTTAAAGCAAGGTGTAATTAAAAAAACCATACAATTCCAAATATACTTAGTAGAATAGCATAAAACACAATCACACGATCAGCCCCATTAAAAGGGACTGAGAATCATAGATTGGCATCTAGCCCACTTGTCATCAGAGAGGCTTCACCTAACGACTAATGAAAACAGATGGCAAAACCCATGGCCAAACATTAGTGAGAGTTTGGGGAATTCCTTGAAAGAGTGGAAGAAAGGATTGTAGGAGCCAGAGGGGTCAAGGACAACTAACCAGAGCCCATAGGGGCTCACAGAGACTGAACTAACAACCAGGGAGCCTTCACGCCCTCTCCACACATATTGCAGTTGCGTAACTTGGTTTTCTTGTGAGGCTCCTAACAGTAGGAGCAGAGGCTGTCTGACTCTGTTGCCTGACTCTGGGACCCTTTCCCCCTACTGGGCTGCCTTGTCTAACCTTAATAGAAAAGGATGCACCTAGTCTTACTACAACTTGATATGCTAAGGCTGGTTGATAGCCATAGAGGCCAGCCCTTTTCTGAAGAGAAATGGAGGAGGAATAAAATGGGTGAGGGAGTGGGGAGGGACTGAGGAGGAGTGGGGGGAGGAGAAACTGCAGTCTGGATGTAAAATAAATAAATTTTTTTAAAAAAATTTTTTTAAAAGGGGGACCTGAGAAAAATGAGGCAAACTATGTACTGCTTTGCTTTCTCTCCTTTTCAGCCTCATTATGTGTAAAGCAAAAGTAAAAGTTGGGAAGCTGTTAACAGAATTCAAGTGTTTAGCAAGATATTCACTTCATAAACAAGGAAGCAACTAACTTGAAATAATCATAGTTGTTTGGAACTGTAAAGGATAAATGGTGCATTCTGACTCAGAAGTGATTTTCTTGCACAGTTTTCAAATGACTTGTTCTACATGCCAAATGTTTCCTTTCTCTTTCAGATGGCTGGCATGATGCTGCTACAGATTTCTGTCATATCTACCATCGCAGAGTTGATTATTGCAATCATAGTGCTCCACTGGTTCACAGGAGCACATGAGATTGAAGTATACTCAGAAGAAAGTGAGTAATGGAGACCAGGGAAATGGGTTAGAAAGCAAGGCACCTGCTACACAAACATGCTGACCTTAATTCCAGTCCTAACACGCATGTAGAAAGAGGTGGGTGTGGTAGGCGGTGTCTGTGACCCTTCCTGGGGACAGACATAGACAGTTAGCCAGTCTAACGGAAACATCAAGTGTCAGCTTCAGTGAGAAATACTGTAAAAATCAATAAATAGACCAATGAAGTGTAGGACAACACCCCAACATCAACCTCTGGCCACCAAAGGAGCCTGAAGAGAATGAAACCCCTCAACAAAGGCTGGGAATTTTATTAGATCAAGGCAATTAAGAAAATCTATGCCCAATCATTAGCCCACTTTGCTACATTACCTAAAATATGGAGCTTTGAACCAAAACGTTCTGAGATGTGTAAGGGAATAACAGAGCATGTTCTTCAGAAATGGAGGAAATAAGTCAACTAATTTTTTTTTTGAAGTAAGTCTAAACCCTAGACTTAAATATAAAATGTTTTATTCAGCTAAAATAAGCAGGTGTTAAAATAAATTGATTCTCAATTTGTTTGAAGAACCACCATATTGATTTCCATAGTGGCTGGACAAGTTTGCAGTCCCATCAGCAGTAGAGGAGTGTTTCCCTTGTTCCACATCCTCACCAGCATGAACTGTCACTTGAGAGTGTAGCTTGGTTTTCTTGTGGGACTTCAAACAGTAGGAGCAGGGGCTATCTCTGACTCTATAGCCTGACTCGGGGACCTTTTCCCCCTTGTCCAACCTTAATAAAAGAGGATCTACCTAGTCTTACTATAACTTGATATGCCAAGACTGGTTGATATCAAAGATATCTTGGAGAACTGCTCTTTTCTAAAGAGAAATGGAGAGGGAATGGATCTAGGGAAGAGAGAAATAGGAGAACTAGGAGGAGTGGAGGAAGGAGAAACTCTAATTAGAGTGTATTGTATAAGAAAAATCTATTTTCAATTTTAAAAAAGAACAAAAATAATCTTTTTTAATAAAAACCTAAAAGTATAGCAGTGTGTAACCTAAAATAAATTGAAACTCTTTAAAAAATCAGAATCACAGAGCAGAAAACTACAACAGCAAAATTGAAATTTTTAATGCAATAATTCAAAAGAAGACGTGAGCTGTAAGATAAAACACCAACTTGAAGATAAGTTAGTTTCAATTATCATCAGTAGCACAAAAAATAAACAATGTATTAGATGCCTGGAAAATACCATTGGGAGTGCCAAAATGTACATTATGAGGGTCACAGGAGTAGAGAGAGGGAAGGAAAGAGGAAAGGAGAAGAAGAAATTTTAAAGAACTTTTAGAACATTTGTAGCTGTAAGTAATATATTTTTTAAGTCTCAAGTCAAAAACCCAACTTTCTGCTGTTGAAAAAAACTAGAAAATGACTTTTAAAACTAAGCTTAAGGGGCTGGCAAGATGGCTCAGTGGTTAAGAGCACTGACTGCTCTTCCAAAGGTCCTGAGTTCAATTCCCAGCAACCACATAGTGGGTTCGCAACCATCTGTAATGGAATCCAATGCCTTCTTCTGGTATGTCTGAAGACAGCTACAGTGTGCTCATATAAACAAAATAAAACTTTTTTTAAAAAATAAGCTTAAAGTGAGAAATGAAAATAATAGCCTGAAGTAAAAATAAATGCATATGCCCCATGCAATCAGTGCATATCAATAAGAAAAAGAGAACAAAGAAAAACAAAAGTATATTCTCTTTTTAAAAAATAATAATAAACCAACAAATCTTTAGCTATATGGACAAAAGGGAAGGAGATATTGAGTTTAATTTGTCAAATTATGAATAAACATAACAATATTAAAGAAATAAAAGCACTGAATTGGCTATTAGGAACAATGGCATGCCAACAAGTGAGATAGCCATTCTCATTTGGCTCCTGTTGCTGTGATAAATGCTGACCAATTTGATGACTAAGTAATCTTTTCAAATGGTACTGGGAAAACTAAAAAACAAAAGTAATAAACCCCTACCCCACACAAACTCCACAAGTTAATTCAAAATTCAGCTTAATTCACAAGTTAATTCAGCCTAAGTGTTAACACTGTGAAACTCTTAGAAGAAACTCTAGGCATAATTCTTTGTAACCTAGGTTAGGTAATGATACATTGGATGCTACATCAAAAGCACAAAGAACGTTTCATGCATAAATTGATCAGCCAAGGAAAAAATATAACAGAAAAGTGTAATAAATACAGTTGCAAGAACCCTTACTACCAGCAACAAAAATATCTACCAAAGCAGAAGCTAGAGGGATGGCTCAGCAGTTAAGAGGAGTCACTTGTGAAGAAGACCCAGTTTTTCCCCTACTGGCCACATACAGCAGCTCCCAAACACCTGTAACTCTCCAACATCCTATTCTGGCCTCTCTGAGCAATGTATATACATGGTGCACATACAGTCAAGCAAGTACACACACACATCCATGTAAATAAAATAAATTAAACTTTTAAATTCTTTAATTACCAAATCAAATCTAATAACATTTTTTAAAGTTTATACATCATGACTAAGTAGGAGTTACCCTAAGAACTCAAAGTTAGTCAGCTTATAAAAATTAATCAATAGAACATACTACATTATTAGGTAAAGAACAGAAACATAATCAGTAAAAATGATGGATTGTGTACATAGGTTGTAATGGTGATAGTTTAAATATCTGTTCAGCTTACCTAATACTTTTCAAAATAAATCATTTTAGTTTCAAAAATAACTGCATTCTTGTATCAGCCTAAAATTCTGCCTGGGAGCAGAGGGATGACAGTTCCTAGGATCCTGATGGGTACTACATGAAAACAAATTGCTAAGATGAAGCTGAGCAGTAAATGGAGACTAGGTCCTGAGAACATTTAACTAAGTTATTAAAGAATGCTTGCTTTAGACTATGGGTACCAGAGGGCTCTTGAAGGACTTTAACAGCATGTATCTCAGTCAAGCTTTGTTCCTACTATAATTATATCCATTAGAATATTTTCTAAAGCAAGTTATAGGTGCCCATCCCTAACTCAGATTACTCAACCAATCAGGAAAGACTACATCTGTTAGAATAACAGTTCCAAAATTAGGAAGACTTTAGGCATGATGGGTACTGGACTTCCTTCTGTCCTCCTGCTCTGCTATCTGCATCTATATCCTAAGACTGTCTCAGTTCATGATCCCAAGATGGCTCAGGCAACATAACTCATGGTCACATGCCTCAGAAATTGGTTCTTCTTCCTCTGAAGGGACAGGAAACCTCTCCCTCCCTCTCAGAGATGCAACTGCCTCCAGCTCTGAACTAAATAATAGCAAAGAGTACTGGATTGGCATAAGACAAATTACAGGGGAAGGGTGATTTTGAGGCCCACCTGCCTCTGGGCCATTCCAGCGGGAGAAGAGAAAAAGGAACAAGAAAAGAAAACAAGGCATTGGACAAGGATAGTAACTGAGCAATCCAAGTTATGTATATCTAAACATAAACAATGCAGAATATATTGAATACAATATATAAAAGCAACCTGAAACTCTGGGAAGACAACCTTACTGTGACCTGAGGCCCATTCTGGGTCTTCACAATGAATATGAGGAATACAAAGGAAAAAAAGTTTGAAAGTCAAAAGGTTTATATACATTGTGTATATTAGTTTTATGATCAATTTTCTCAGGCAACAGGGATTATAGATTGCTCAGCCTTTATTTATAGTTCCCATATCACTCAAGAGTTACTGAACATTGTGTTGAATACTTAACCTTAATTCTAGTAGATTGAGAGATGGTTTCTTAAGTACTCATCTTTTCAGGGGGAGTTTTGTGTACTCTTACTTAGCAAAATATTCTTTGATACATTTAAAGGACACATGGAAAAAAGCTTTAAAGTGTTGCTCGGGAAAACAATAACACCATGTCACTCAGGATGTGTTCCAGTTTCAATTTCTGTTTCTTTGAAAAAAATTCCCTGCCCCAAAGAAACTTAAGAGAGGAAAATGTTTACTTGGCATATAATTAGAGGATAGAGTCCATTATTGTGGGGAAGTCAAGGCAGGAACTTAAAGCACCGTGTCCATAGTCAAAAGCAGAGAGAGAATAAAAAGCACGGACCCTTGTGTTCTTGCTGATCTCAGCCAGCTTGCTTGACTCTCATACAGTCCAAAGCCTGGCCCATGAAATGGTGCCACCCGCATTCATGGTGGATATTGCAATCTGATGTAGATAGTTTCTCAAGTGAAAGTCTCTTCCAGGTGAGGCTAGGTTGTGTCAAGTTAATAGTTAAGATTAGCCAGCATAGGATGCCTTCCTGAATGGCATCCAAGACCCCCTGAATCTGAGAGAAGCACCAGAATATAGCAGAAGGTTAAAGTCCTTTTGAAAAGTGCAATACTTGAGAGTAGTATGTTTGCTGTAATTCACAGAAACCTGTGGGATAATATAATGCATACATGTATACTCTCAGCCCTCAGGAGGCTAAGGCAGAAGGATCATCCATTTCAGGGCAACTTGAGATACATAGATTCTATCCAAAAACAAACCAATCAAGTAAGTAATTAAGCAGTACCTCCTAGGTCATAGGTCCATGGGTCTGGCCTCAGGACACAATAAGGCTGTCTATCCAGTGTTTCAGGTTGCCCATGCTCTAGGTTTTTACATTTAAGTACTTGGTGACTAAGGGTGAGTCTTTTATCCTCAAGACAATACTAATGACCAACTTTCTATCTCTCCAGTTTCCCTAGGTCCCTCCAATTCAGAACTACCATCACCACTTTCAAAACAGCCATCTCTACTTGAGTTGGAAACGATGAGCGATGAAAATGAAGAACCCTGAAGGGTTTGTTCGGTTTTTTTGTTACAAGACACCTCACAGGAAATGTACTCCAATGATGTCCTTGACAATTCTCACTTTCTCCTAGTTCAGTAATAAAGGATGCAATCTGATCGCAAATCGCCTGTTCCCTCACTGTCCTAGTCAATGCTTCATTGCTGTGAAGAGACACCATGACCCATTGCTGTGAAGACACACCATGACCACAGCAACTCTCATAAAGGAAAGCATTTAATTGGGGCTTACTTACAATTTCAGAGGTTTTGTCCATTGTCATCATAGTGGAAAACACGGCAGCAAGCAAGCAGACAAGGTATTAGAGAAGGAGCTTGAGAGTTGCACATTCAGAGCTACAAGCAACAGGAAGAGAGCCAGCAGGGCCCTGCTTGGGCTTTTGAAACATCAAAGCCCATCCCCCTCCCCACCTCTCCTACCCCCCCACCCCCCACCCTCACCCCCAGTGACACACTTCCTTCAACAAGACCACACTTCCTAATCCTTTCAAATAGTGCCTAAGAATTTAAATATATGAGCCAATGGGGGTCATTCTTATTCAAACATCCACACCCACTGTAGATTACCAGCCTTCTCTACCCCTAAGATTGGGGCCATGACAGGTAGTTAAGGTGACTGCTCATTTTTATCTCCATTTATGGAAAATATTATAAACAAAGGAACCCTTTCATCACAAAGAAGAAAATGGAAGAGGCATAGTGCTGCTGTAGTGAAAGCAAGACTCTAAGTTGGCCTACACTACTGCTATGCTGCAGAGTGGTCCCCAGCCCACAGAACAGAAAGGAGAGCTTAGCATAGCTCCTATCTAACGCATAGCAATGCATCAGCAGGCTAGCATCATTTATTAGCGATCATTATTGTAACCATGAGATTCAGGAAGCCAAAAGGGAAATAGTTCCTATTTCCCAAAACTAGTGACCACGGCCCATCTCTGAAAGCTGAAAATGAGATCACTTTTAATATATTTTTTCTTAAGCCATAAAAAGCTCCCAAAAGCTCTCTATAAGTTGTTGTGATGTATTTGTGTCCCTTAGTAAAAAGAAAATAGATGTTGATATTTTAGTGCCCAGTACCTCAAAATATGACTTTATTTAGAAATAAAGTCTGGGTCCAGAAGATGGCTCAGCAAATCAAGGTGCCTTATGCCAAGTCTGGCTATCTGAGTTTGATCCTTGGGACTCACAGGGCAGAATGAGCGAACTCCTACAAGCTGTCCCCTGACCTCTCCATGTCTACAGTAGCATGCATATTAATATACAAACAATAAATGGATAATTTTTGTTTTGTTCTTGAGACAAAGTCTCACTGTGTAGTCCTAGCTGGCCTAGAACTTAGTATGCAGAACAGGCTGGCCTTATATTCACAGTGATCCACCTGCTTATACCCTCCGAGCACTGGGATTAGAGGTGTGTGCCTCCATGCCCAGCAAATAATTTTAATAGAAATACAGTCTTTATGGAGGAAATGAAGTAAAATTGCTGTAAGGGTGGGGCCTAGTCCAGTACAGCTGATTCTCTTATAAAAGAGGATTTGGACAGAGTCAGGCAAGCAGAGAAGGGAGTTGGTAGATGAGAAGGGAGAGGACCTGTGGAAAGGGAAGGGCAGGAGTGAGACATCTATTAGTCAAATGCTAAGATCAGCAGAAAACCATCAGAGTTGTAGAAAGGGATCTTCTTGGAGAGTGTCCAACTTTTGAAAATTACAACATAGCATTGTCGTCTTCAAGTACATAGGGCCACATTCATATGTATCCTGGGATGCATGTGGCCTGCAGGACACACTGACAACAGTTCCAAGAAGGAGTCTGACTCTGGTAACATCTTGATCTAGAACAGTGAGACAATATATTCCCACTGTTGTTAGTCTCCCAGTCCGTGGCCTTTTGTGGAAGGTAGTCACATACCTTTCCACTCTAAGCTGCATTGTGTTTGCTCCAGAGTTTAACCAGGTGTTTACAAATGGAGAGTACCCTCTCACCTGAATATCTCTCAGTGGGAAAGTCATATTTGAATATCTCTACTCTCCAAAGTCGGATGAGAGGAGAATCTGTAAAACTTGTGGGTGCTGCGGGAAAATGTCATTTCCCTGTTGTTAGGCTTTGAGACAGAGGTGAGGTTTGCTGGCCAGCTCTAGAACAGTCATGACAAGATTCATAGATTTCAAGGCATTGATGTCCAGTCAGAGCTCTCTCTCTCCAATCTCACAGGAGCTCATTTATCTTCATTTAACCCTTTAAAAACAATGATTGCAAAAATATTCATATGTTTCATTTAATAGACATGTTTAATATTTTATAACAACAAAAACTATTGTGAATACTACATACGTAAGTTCTGTGTTTGGAGTTTGCCTTGTTATTTCTTGGTTTTACTGTGATACTATCTCCAGGCTCACTTATACAAAATCTCCAAAGACTCTATCACATAGTCAGCAAATTCTCTATCCCTGAAAATGTTCAGCAGAAATGTGAGCATCCTTGAAGGAAGTTGTGGTTTAGACATGAATTGTTTCTATGGATTCATGTGTTGAAGACTTGATTGGTCAACCATCTTCTCTTTTCTCCATGCTTCCTGGACACCAGGAAATGAACAGTCTTTCCTACACATTTTCACTGCCATGGTGTTCAGCCTCACCTCAAATCCAAACCAGTAGCATTTGCTGGCATTGATTTGATTTGAATAGCTCCACCTCTCCTGAGGCTTCCCTCACCTCAAAGTTTCTGTCCCTTCAAGACAGTTGGCACCATTTCCAGGAAGTCAATAAAAGAGGGAAAATCCCAACCAGAATGTTAGCTGGATACTGAAACCCACATGACCTAAGTACACTTCTTATTACTTCCCTCGGTACAAGTGATTGATGTCATTCGTCTTTCTTAAAGGATGTTACGTTATTTTATAGAGATAGGCATATTACAGGAAACCTTCCCTTTAAAAAGAAAATTCACAAGAATATCAAGAAGAGAAATGTGTTTAATTTCAAAAAATTAAATTCAATCAATCCTGCCAGACATCAAAGCAAAATATAGAATAATGAAAATATCATAGAAGTCACTCCTACATAGACAAGCATGCCATAGACAAGCATAGTTATACTATGCCAGTGGTATAGTAGAAAAAAAAAACTCACACAGAAATTGAGCTTGTAACTAAGGTGGCATTTCAGTGCATTGCAATAAAAATGAGTTGACAAAATATCTAGGATAATCAAGCAGATTTTTGGAAAAGTATAAAATTATACTCATAGCTTATGTTATTTCAAGAATAAACTCATACAAGAAAATCAAGATGTAAAAATGAAAATTGGGCCTACAGATACAGCTCAAAGAAAAGAGTACTTCTCCCAACATGTGTGAAGCCCTTGGTACTATTACCAGCCCAATTAAAAAGAAGTAAATCCACAGAAGTACTAGAAAAGAACTAAAATAAAATTCCATTTCACCATGGGTTTAATGAGACAACTGAAGGAGACCAAGGAGATACAAATTGGAAAGGAAGAAATCCTGAAAGGATATAGAAATCCATAGAGTAGTCTGAGACCCCTATCTAAATCAGGGCTGTAGGTCAGTAAGTTCAGTAAGTTCACAGGCCCAGGTTCCAGGAACTAGCCAGCAACAAAAGAAAGAATTGGCTAAGAGACAGGTCAGCTAGGTCATTCCAGAAACTGACTCACCACAAAGAAAAGCAGAACTACCACTTCCCTTCCACCCCTGCCTGGTCCTCTGGGCTGGGGCAGACACAGAGTTGGTCTGCTGCTGTGGAGACACTGAATCCCGAGCCATCCTAGAGGAGCCACTGCACTCAGAGCAGCAGACACCAAGCTGGTTTGCACTTGGGAGGCATTGTATCCTGAGCCATCCTAGAGTAACCACTGCACCCAGAGCAGAAGAATTTCCAGATCCAAGAGGTGGCCTGAGTCCCAGGAGTTCTTCCACCCAGGAGATTAGGTTCATAAGACCACAGAGACATCTGGACTCTAAGGAGCTCTGTCACAAGCAAGATAACTGGAAATACAGACTCCAGTCTTACACAGTGAGGGCAGGTAACACTAGAGTTAATCAGATGGCGAAAGGCAAGTGCAAGAACATAAGCACAGAAACCAAAGTTTCTTGGCATCATCAGTACCCAGTTCTCCCAATATAGCAAGCCCTGGACACCCCATCACACCGGAAAACCAGGATTCAGAATTAAAATCACTTCTCGTGATGATGATAGAGGATTATAAGAAGGACATAAGTAACTCCCTTAAAGAAATTCAGGAGAGTACAAGTAAACAGGTAGAAGCCTTTAAAGAGGAATCACAGAAATCCCTTAGAGAAATGCAAGAAAATACAAAGAAGGAATTAAACAAAAACATTCAGGATCTGAAAATGGAAATAGAAACAGTAAAGAAAGCTCAAAGGGAGACAACCATGGAGATAGAAAACCTAAGAAAGAGATCAGGAGACATAGACGCAAGCATCACCAACCGAATACAAGAGATAGAAGAGAGAATCTCAAATGCAGAAGATACGGTGGAAAATATTGACACAGTTGTCAAAGAAAATGCAAAATGCAAAAAACTCCTAACTCAAAACATCCAGGAAATCCAGGACACAATGAGAAGACCAAACCTAAGGATAATAGGTATAAATGAGAATGAAGATTCCCTACTTAAAGGGCCAGTAAATATCTTCAACAAAATTACTGAGGAAAACTTCCCTAACCTAAAGAACAAGATGCCCATAAACATACAAGAAGCCTACAGAACACCAAATAGACTAGACCAGAAAAGAAATACTTCCCGTCACATAATAATCAAAACATCAGATGCACAAAACAAAGAAAAAAAAATACTAAAAGCAGTAAGGGAAAAAGGTCAAGTAACATATAAAGGCAGACCTATAAGAATTACACCAGACTTCTCACCAGAGACTATAAAAGAAGTCTCACCAGAAGAGCCTGGACTGACATCATACAGACCCTAAGAGAACACAATTGACAGCCCAGACT